TTAAAAAATACGACGATACCTTGGTACCTTTTATCGCAGATCAATTCGTTGTTATTGTCGCATGACGTAGAAGTATCTTTCTACATGTAAGTGTCAGATTATATTGATTTACAACGACGTCAAATAACATTGAAAACAGTTGAATGTTGAAGTTCTTATTGTTCTTTTATTATTTTTTTAAAATTGATTTGGTGTTTTAGATTTGGAGGGGTAGTTCGTGTACATAAATACACAATATTCGATTAATTTACATATAAATTGAATGAGGTATAATTTATAAGATTACTTTATTCCTAGAATTAAGTGGCAATGTTCTGCTTCTAAATAATATTTAAAGGTACATATTTCAGGAGAACCTGCTGCCCCGGGTATAACAAAGTGTGAAATTTCTAATAAATTATAATATAGAACTGCTTTACAGTTTTGATATTTTGTTAATGAGTGATGCAACAAATTAAGCGTATAATATTTTGATATAAATATAACATTTCATAGAAGTAGCATTATTTAATACATAATTTCTGAATAAAATAGCAGTGTTTTTAAATTTAAATGTTTATTCTCATGTTGCATAAAAATTGGATCAAAATATGAAAAGATTGTATTTCAACTACAATCCAATACTTTTTTAAGTAAATAAAATAAATTTTGACTTCATTATCGCGACTTAATCGTTATGAAAATAATACCAACAAAATTATTAGTTTAATACATTTTATACTGTTGTAAACTCATATTATTTCTATGTCTCCTTTTTAAAGGAATTATCTATAAAAGAACATATCTCAACAGGCATTGTTGTCTTATCTCTCTGACACTGATACCAATTTCCCGACGTACCTCATGTTTTAAGCATAGCGTATTCCTTTCTATATATATGTTTCGCAGTAAAATTTACTGATAGCTTTAGAATTTTAATCACGGTGTAATCATTGAGATTAATTCACATCACGATATTCAGTACATCCTATATAATTATTAATCTAATCCTTTTACCATCTGAACAAATCAATCACTGGAATTAACTCTTAAAAGAAATTTACATTCGTCAACTCAAACTAGCGTGGTACTATTTACCACTTTTTTATTGTCTGTCAACAGTAAGTATGATAAGAGGAATTATCTGATTATATTAGGTCGCCCAAAAAATCTTGTACTTTTTAAGAAAATTTCATTTTTTAAGTTTTATTAAACTATGCGTTGCCTACTTTGTTTTGTTTGACAATTTTTATCTAAAGATAGGTATATACTCATTTGCGTAACACTAGTCGAATGTAGCAGTGAAACCAAAACGACAAGACTGTTCTGTCAATACAATCATTTCAGTCACTTCAAAGATGAACTGTGAACACATTAACTATATTGCAAATCTTTTCAAAATTACTTAAAACACTTGAACTTTGGACCACTTTCAGGTGAACTATTTGTACAATTAAATCTTTATGATAATTGTAAATTTAAATATTCTTTATTAGACATTACGCGGAATCAAATAAAATAAATATTATAAAAGTACGGAAAAATTTTAAATTTGCATACGAGCAAAAATACACGGGAAATCATTGTTACATGTTTCCAAGTTATACACAACCTTTAAATGGAAATTGAATGTAATAACACAGCCCTCAATTGACATTGCAAACAACTGTACATCTTATGTAACACGTGCGGTACTGATACCATTGAGAATGATTTATTCAATTTCTTGTACCTTCATTGCTCTCAGGAATATCTGCAAAATTATTCGTTGCTTAAAAAATTACTCAAGTGCAATTTTTGTTTGTTTTGAGCGCCCGCTAATTTAGTACGCCTGGTTTGTCTTTAGAGGGACGTGGGTAGGAAATAGTATTAATAATGTTACATAATATTTTTACGTCGATCAGTTACGGCGGATCATTCTCTATAAAATTATTTTAATCTATCTCCGTCGAAAGTCTATCGCAACAGACAAAATAACATTTTTCATAATTTTTAAAGAACAATTAGTTCCGGAAATAATTTTATTTACAGATTAAAGTGGGACTGTGTGTATTCTGAAACGTGATGGAACATATCAGTAATTAGCTGTCCCTTCTTCTAGAGTACCATGCGATCTGCAGTTTTTATTGAATACTTTTTTCTGTATAGGTTCCCAAAGTACATTATAAACAATTTAGAAAGATACAGATTGTTTGGAAATTATTGCGCACGAATAAAAGGGGATATATAACTCACTGAACCATTTGTCAAGAAAACGTAAAAAATAAGATTTTTAAAAGTAATAATCTTTTGCTAAAGGCGCGATAGATATGTTGCAGCATCTACCAACTCAACTCCGATATACTTTTACCTAAATTAAACTGTTTATCATTAAAAGTAACGATTTATTTCATTGATGTTGGTTGTATGCCTCCGTAGTGTAATTTCCTTAATGCTGTCGTTAAGGAACGGCGTATAATTCACGGTAAAAAATTCCTAAGCTTTTAACTTTTTATGACCGAATCCTGCATTACTTAAGTTGCAATAGTTTTATATTTAATGAATGTCATGTTTCTGTTATCCGAACCTCAAAGAACATAATTAAAAGTAAGGTTATCTATTGTATCTTGTCATTCTTATTATTTCTAAAAGTTGACAAGTGTAGTGAATTACTGACATAAATTGTTAAAATTTATTAACTGATTACAGTATATCCACTTTACATATAATTTCATCAGAAATACAGAACAAAACTTTCGAACTTGAAATATAATGCATTTTAGTAGACGGCTATATGGTCAACTATTAACTGAAACTACGGTCAATTATTGACTCAATTTAGTGGAGTTTAAATTTATTCAATAACTACTTACGTAGTACAATTAAAATCAACAAAATATTAAAGTGCATTTACTTAGACATTTCCGATTATGTAGAAATTGATGGTAACGAAGAGTCTACGGAAGGAAATGAATTGTCGAACAATCATAAATGTCTACCTATTAAAAGGACTGAAGATGAATATACAATATTTTTATGTAAAGGTGAATATTTTCCTACGAAAATATTAATAATATAGTTTCTCATATTAATAAGCCTACCGAATCAAACGAAACTCGAAGCATTTACTCCATTCCTGAATTAGATTTTGTATAGAATTAACTTCTTTTCATCTGTATTTGTCCTTCTATTCCCCCAATTGTCAATTACTAGTTTTCTCGTTTTCAAAAATGGTCAACGTCTGATGCAAGTATTACATTTTCATAAATGCCTATAAAATTTGGATAATGCAATTACTTCTAGAAAGTTCTCTTTAATACACATTGTAATAAGTTCAAACAGCATTTTCGCGCATTTATATATGTATATATACCTACATATACGTACGACTCAGGTACAAAATATGTAATTACGGTTACTGACGTCGATCATTGAGCAAGATTATTATCAGTGTATTACAAATAATAAGAAAACTTGTAAAAAAATTGAAAATACGAGTTCCCACCGTAATTAACAAGGAATAGTAATTAATTGATGCTGATGATCAAATTGTTTAATAATCAAAATATATTTACAGTATCTCGAGCAATTGTAGACACAAAATTCATGTCTCAGCAACGAAACCTTCTTCTAAAAATTTCAACTCTAATAATAGTAGCATTTCAATTAAGCTTCATTCAATTAATAAACACATCTTGATTATTCCTCGGTTGAATTTCCAACCAAAATCCATTTTCAGCCTTCAGGAATGCACCTCCGTTTCCAAGCTTCAAAGGTACCGCAGTTTTCGTGGCAACTTTCAGTTCGCAGCGGGCAAGAATATGGAATAATGCAACTTTACTTTGCAACATCGCGAACCGGTTACCGATGCATATTCTGGGTCCAATGCCAAAAGGTTCAAAGGCACCAGAATTAGTTAAATTAACTTCTTTATTCAAGAATCGGCTAGGATCAAATTGTTCGGGCTCATCGAAGTACCTCGGATCACGTTGAATCGCATAAATGGGTATCCAAATATGTGAGCCCATTTCCATTTTAAATGGCTTCAACCCAGGTAAGGCTGCAGGCAACTCTAGAGGTTTCACGCACTCTCTGTCAGTGAAAGGTATTACCGGGTACAATCTCAGAGTCTCGTTAATTACAGCCTCGAGATACTTCATTCCATTCATGGTTTCATAAGGGATTTCACCATTAGAATTCATTAGGACCTGGTCGATCTCTTCCTGCAGCCTCTTTTGAATCTCAGGATTCACTGCTAACATGTGACTAGCGAAGCATAAAAGGGTGGATGTAGTCTCGAAACCTCCAAAATAGAAAGTAAACGCCTGAGAGGCGATATCCAAGTTATTCAGGTGTTTTTCCGGACCTAATTTAGTTCTGTTCTCCATCATCAGTTGAATGAAATCTGGGCGATAGATGCCTGTCCTCTGTCTAGTAGCAATTGTAGCTGACACTACCTCCTCGAAGAAGTTCACAACTTCTTTTCTTATTATCCTTAAACCGAGCATTTTGGAGAATCTTGGAAAAAGGATCATTGCCAATAACTTGAAGACATTGCCACCGTGGAGGTCCAGAATCTCTTTGCCAAGAACGTAGAACTTGTTGTTCCGTTCGACCATCGAGTTGATACTAATTCCGAACGCGCAACTCGCGAAAACATCGTTGGCGAATCTAGTAAAGATGTCCTTCAGTTCTATCACATTATTTTCTTCTTTCAAGGCTGCCAAATGATCCGCCATGTTCGCAGCACATTCGGACATCAATTTGAACATCTCTTTCATCTTACTAGATGTGAACGCTGGTGTTAATAGTGCTCTAACTTCTTTCCATCTTTCTCCTCGAAGGAGCAATAGGTTTTTAGCGAAAAATGGATCGATGTTAAGACTACCGAAGCTACGGTGATCAGGGAAATGATCGAAATGTTTGATCGCGATAGATTTTAGTAGCTCCGGATCACGTATCATTATCACCGGCGCCATACGATGATGCAATCCAACGTATTTCGCTTCGGGATTCGTATTGTATATCTCTTGCACCACACTGGCGAATGGTTTGAAGGATATCATGGCTGACCACGTACTACCGAGCACGGGAACAGACATTTTGAAAGGTAAACCATGTGTTTTAAAAAGGTCTTCTTCTTTCAAATAGCAATAATAGAGCACTAGCGACGCAATTATAATAATTAAAATTATTAAGATACTCATTGCAAAAGATTTTAGATTTGGCTGTGTTTGTTAATTATTTACAGGTTGAATTGTAAGAGATGGTGAGTGAAGGTTGAATATTTTTGTTTAAAGAAGTGAACTGACTTGGATCTATTATAGACACTGTGTTTCCGCGACAACTGTTTCTCAAAGTACACACTCTTCCGAGTCGTCGACGATAAACGATGAGTCATTCAGCAAAATACTCCGTCTCGCGTGCGACTAACATAATGGAGTACAAAGTCCTCCTATTAATGCGAAGTAACGACAAGCGTTCCATCTTTCGGGAGAAGTTTTGTATAGACCGTCACATCATTGACGACAATTCAAAATATTGTCCGTTCCTTCTTCATTCATTGTTTCATTTATAAGTATTATTCAATTAATTATTTTTGATAAATGTTTCATTTCATCCATGCATTTATCTTATTGATGCTTCATTTTATCTATTTACTTCTTCTACTTATGTTTTATTTTATTTTACACTGAAGATATTTTCGAACAGTCATTCTCATATATATTTAGAATGAATAAAACTAATTCATGGATCTATTCATGATCAGTTAAACCGACCAAATTAGCTACTATGCGTCATAGATCAGTAGGTGTTCGCCTTGGAATACGTGTTTAAATTAAGTTAGCAGAGATTACGTGGTGTGTTTAGAATATCGCCTTAAGTGTGACGATATTATTGGTACTTCGAATAAGAGTTCTGTTTATCTTAATTCCGGAGATTTGAATAACGGGTGTTGATGTTGCGCTCAGTTTCGAAGCAATGTACTTACTTGGCAGTAAACAGTGCCAATTTCGTATACAGGATGTCTCAGGACGGGTAGTATAAAAAAGTATGCGGTAATTCGTAGTATGTTGCTTCATTTTAGAGAAACGAACATTTGCCCATTACCTGCAGTAGGGGGAATCCCCCTAGTTTCGGACACTTTTTCAACAATATTTATTAAATAATGGTATTTATTAAATTTACATGTTAGTCATATTATGAAGAAAACGAATAGAAACTAAGAAACAAAAATATAATATAACTGATTCACGTTTAGCTTAGCGGAAAACATTTGCTCTCGTGGGTTTTTGTAATACGAGTAGACACGATGACAAACTATATGTCCATGGGATAGTCTTAGTTATCTAGGTCGGCGGTTCAATTAGATATTCTTTAGATAATTATCCTGTTAACCATGAAAAGCATGGTTATTATTCGCACTGACTTGTGTTTTCCACCCATTTATCGATTCCAAATAAAGCATCCATTTATACTATAAAGATGATTTGCATTGGCTGTTTAACCCTTAATTCATAAGTAATTTTTCGGTTTTTCTCTGCAAAAGTATAGGCGAAATTTTCAGCCCGTATTGCTTTATTATCAAAAAATTTGTAATGGAGTGTAAAATACTTGCATTGTAAAAGTAATTGGAAATAAAGAAAACATGTTTATTATTGAATATGTTTTTGAATATGTCTTACATATCTAAAACGCGTTGAAATTTAAAACACGAATCTATGCATGAATCAACATTAGAATTTTTCAAAACTTCACTGCATAATGCAGTTAACAGATTAAAAAACTGTGCTGTTATAATACAAGAATAAGTTGTAGTTCTAAAGGGAATACAGTAAATCTTGCTAAGTAACCGTGAAGATTTATACAGAAGCAGTTTTAACGAGGAACATGATAAATTGTAGAAACAACAGTAATATTTTGCATTATATTTCAAATGTCTGTATCGTAGAAAAATAAGCAACTCAAAACTAATGGTCTCAAAATGTCATCCTACCGTGGATTGACATTAACACATCTAATCTTAACCGATAGGAAAATTTACCAAATATACTGATAATTTCTAAAAAGTAATTAGATGTTAACAAAACAAAAGAAAATATTCCAAACACATATCGCTGAACAACATGGGCAGACGAAAGAAGAAACAAACATGCACTGGTCCACGCAAATATTTAAGATTAACATATTTCTAACAAAAATTAAAGTCTCAAACCCGTGTTATTCGATTTTAACTAGCAGTGTGCGGGCTGTCTAATGTGCGTAACGATTTAATTAAAATATTGGTTATATGCTTGTTAATGGATTTATTACATTTTTAATTTCACAAATAATATTAATGTTCAAACGATAAAAACATAAATAATCTGGAAAATTCAATAGAAAGATTTGTCTTTCTGTTACTAAACATTTTAACTTTACAACCAGTACACACTCTGTTTTTCTCGAATATACTTGTCATCGCATAAAAATAAATAAGTTGAAATTTATTTCTATTTATGAAAAATAATTTCAAAATAGATGAAACAGTTAAAGGGTGACAAGTAAAAATTGCAGGAAATACTACGTTAGAGACTACGGTGCGAAGGTGTGATATACTGGTTTTAACGCTCGACGTAATTTTCGATTTAACTGTTACGACTATTCCTTCGGGAATGCCTCTATGTACCGCCGTCAGGACTTTGAGCGGTGGAGTTACCAACGACAGCGTTTGAATTTCCACTTTTCTTTTACAGCTCACTATTTTGCGATATACGATACTTGTTCTATTTAGCGTGGTGCGATTCGAATAGAACTTTTGGATTCAAATTAGATCGTCCGCAGAATTGTTGTTGTTTCAGGTACCTGAATATGTGAGGAACAGTGTCTTACAAATTTTTTTATCCTTGGAGCACTCGAAAGGTACTGTGCTATGTCGAAAGTTAGGCATTTTTTGACTACGCATTTTACTCCTAAAATTTCTGGCAACTCTTTGCATTTGTTTTGGAAAAGTTGTACGAATTTTTCTTCAGTATCAAAATTTTCAGGTAAGTATTGTATATACTCAACATTCAATAGATCATTACTTTTCTACCATGAATCTTTATGTAAAAATCGATATATTAACATAATTAATACATCATCGATTTCATACAGTTGTACAACTTCGCGAATGATTTTATCATACATTAAGATCCGTCCCGGCGTTCTTCCAAGCACAGTTGTATTCAGTAAGCCGTCCGCCTTTTTGTTCTAGAGCGATTTGTTCGCGATCTGCAGTATTTCGAAAAGCCACTTTCTAAGGTCATTTAATACTTCGAAACAAATTACTTTCTTGTAATATCACTTTCAACTTCGAAAATTTTTCAACAGAAATATTGTGACTCTTTAATTTTGCTCACTAGTATAGAAAATCTGCACAAAATATAAATAAAATGAAATACATTAAATAATTATATATTATTTATGAAGTCTTATATATTATATTATTGTATATTACATCATATATATATATATTCTTTACACAAGTAAGTAAGGTGTAGAGCTAAACGTATGATGGTTATATTTTTCTTACATTATGGGAAAATTATGAAGTTTTTTCAATGGCAATATATTTTCTGCGTTTCGAATCTAACATTATGTAAATAGAGAAGCAAAATTTATTTGCACAAAATTGTTACTTTTCAAATGAAAATGATTTTGTATAGTAGGGTCTACTTAGCAATACATTGGTAACCTTTAATTTTCATTATGCGAATAGTCAAATTTTTCTAGTTTTGTCCAGAGGTGGCGCACAATACGAACGCCTTCACTTTCGTTACCAGTAAGGGGAGTCTGAGAAAACATCAAGCGTTAGCGACAAACAGTTAACGACAAAAAGTTACTGAAAAAAGTTAAGAAATTTCGTATTAAGATATTTATCCTGTAGTTACTAATATTTTATATAAGATAATCAAGTATTAATTAATATTATAAATAAAGATAATAGAAAATATTATCTTTAGGTTATTAAATAACGATGGACGATGGACGATGGACAACATTACATCATGTAAATACTCTAAATAAAAATAGAAATTTTAAATGCTGTTGGAAAATAAATGTTTGTTAAAAGAAGGTTATAAAATAAAATACTATAAGTGTGATCGTTCATATTCTTTTAAAACATTTCAAAGTATTTTAAATTAACAATACACAAGTCACAAAGAAATTATTTCGAATATAAAAAATAATGGAACACATATAACCAATAGGAAGAATCTTTGTAAATTTTTAATGGAATTCATAATTTGTCGAAGGCATTTTTCTCGCATTGTCGAAGAAGAAAGATTTATTAAATTTATTAACGCCTTGAAATCTGATTTCGACTTGCCTACTGGATGTATAATGACTCGGATTATTCAAAGTACATGTAAAGAAAAGCAAAATAAAGTAATTCAATATTTTAAAAAAATAGAAAATAAAATTTCCTTAACATATGGTTCATGGACCCCCGTTACAAATAACCCCTACATTGTCGCCACAAGTTATTTTATGATAAAAAATACATTATATATCGTTTTAATTGATTTTGATATATGTAGTTCCATACCCACGTAATGTCGAGTATGTTTTGCAAAAAATAAAATATATCAGTGAAACATTTGAATGTATAGACACATGTGTAGCTATTATTACGAATAATGCAACGACCAACTACATATAAAGTTTGAAAGAAATAGAAAATGAAATTAAGAAAATAACAAAACTTATACATTTTATTCCTTTTTCGTCAAAAATAAAACAAATTTTTCGAGTATGCTATAGTTTTTTAAATATAAAACATCGGAAACTAATTACTTACGTGCTTTCAATGAAGCGACACTAATATTATCTAGAACTAAACATCTTAGTATTTGTTACGTAGGAAATTGTTGTGGATGTTTTATTGCAAAACGTGTCAAATTTTAAAGAAAGCATTTCTCTGAAGGAATATGTTTCCGCAATGGAAAGTAAATTCGACCAATGTGTGCCATACGTCCTTAACGACTTAGCTCAGTTTTCAGTAATCTTGGATCCCAGATTAAAAGGTTATTTTCTCCAAAAAAGAAATTCCAAAGCGTTGGACAAGTTAACCAATTATTTTTACAGTAACAATTACAGAGGGGAGCATACAGTAAAACAAACTGAGAAACAGAATTCAATGTCTAGTAGTTTTTCAGTATTTTCAAACATGTACCGCCAACAAGAGTTGAATTGTAATGAGATCCATACATATGCAAATATGTCAAGAGAACTGGAGAACATCGATCCTGTTACATGGTGGAACGATCGAAAAGAATCATTTCCAGCATTAAGCCGAATGATTTTAAATATCTTGTCAGTGCCTACCACAAGCGTGCCGAGTGAGCAGACATTTTAAAAAGTTGGAAATTCAATAACTACAAAAAGAAACAAATTA